GTCTCGGGGTCCCCATCCAGGAAGACGGCAGTGACCAGTGCAGCTGAGTTTGCTGGTATTCGTTATCATACTTCGCTGCCAAGTCATTGTTTGACCACCTCTGGTTCTCTCTCACCCTTCACGTGTTTGTGCGAAAAGAGCCTTTCGAGGAAGTCGGTCGACTGGCATACTCAGCATGTGGCCAAGCCAGCGCAACCTATGGAGTGTGATCAGTTCATCCATCGAGGGTGAGTTATTTCTCCCGAATACCATTCAACGTAGTTCAGAATTGCTGATCCGGTGTTCCCATCAGATTCGGGCAATGCTCCGAAGACATCGATGGTCAAACACTGAAAGTCTTTTGACGTCCTCGGCGCGCAGCGGCCAGGTTTCTGATCCATATAGTAATATAGAGTGCACCTCAGCATTGTAAACTCGACCCTTGACAGAGAGGCCGAGAGAGTATTTGATGAAGTACTACTTATTTACGACTTTCTGCTCTGTAATCGATAAAGGCGAGACACTGTTGGAAGATTTGCTATTGGTTTTTTAACCTTTTGTGGGGTAACTTAGATGCCAAGTCCATCTCACAGGAGCCATGAAGGATTTACAATCAGGTCTAACAACGGAGGAAAAGACGTTAGTTTGGTGAAGCCTTTTGTACCATCAAATGAAAGCGTGGTCTACCAGTAAACGGCGTGTGCACTCCGTACAATAAAAGTTCAACATCAATTTTTAGTCTGCGTAGCCATGTAGAAAGATATCCTTCCCAGATGGAAGCTAAACAGAGGTAAACTGTCCACCTGCACACTGGTTATGGCTTTCAAGAGTCAACGGTATTTTCTATTGGGTGCAATCCTGACTAAGATTTGAAGTCAGATGACCTACATTAGTGCATGCAAACGCATGAAGGCTGAGCACAACAAGGTACGTGAGTTTGTGAATTGAAGTTATATTCGATTTGAAGGTCTTCTCTAAATCAGCACTGAAGATGGACCGAGTTCTTCAAAATTTGGAGGAATTACACGGAACAGAAGCTTTATTTTCTCCACTGATAGTTCATGCTGCAAAATTCAGCTTTGTAACTTCGGGAACTCGAAGTTGCAGGTATTAAAGGGATATGAATAAAGAAACGTGATTTTCCCAAATACTACTGAGAAGGGCCGTCTGTACCAATATAGCGTAGGTATGTGTGTCTGAAAGTGTTTCTTGAACAGTCTGGTTTGCAAAAAGTACATATTCACTGAAATCCTGACAGAGACAAGTGACATCCTCCGCACAAAAGACTACACGGAGTGGAAATTGGCCGGTGAGATATTCAATACCCAACTATTCCGGTTAAAGTGGCCAATCATTTGAGGGGAGCTCTCAGCGATAAACCAAACAGTTCAAGGGGTCTGACATAGATTGTAGTAAAAGAAAAACCCAGTCATACATCGTTCACCTTTATAATACTTGTAATACATGATGACATTGGTAGCAGCCCCTAGATACGTCAGGAGCCTAGTACTGAACTGAAAGTGCTCCAGAGCGAAGAATGCCGAAGACGGGCTTGTACAATCTAAGGTTTGTCATGAATCAGTGCCCGTCACATAGATGCTGAACAATGGTCAGATACAGTAGTTCAGCAAACCAGGGATCAAGTTCGGATGCATGTGGCTTAGCAACAGAACAAATAATCCAACAGACCACTGACACAGAAGATTAACTAGCTTCTTGTGGTCGTGACAACTGGGGTTGTATTTCACTCATTTTAGGCGTGGTTAAGGTCCGCGTGTCATTGGCTGTTCAGCTGACTGCAAGAAGGGACGTTCAGTGGATGGAGATTGAACTCAGTGACAAGGCTAGTAAAAATTCCTATGCCGACAATTAGACCATTCATTGCGCTTTTAATACGTGCGGTGCCTTTGCCACCTTCCATCCAAAACCACGGATGTTTTTCCCTACCTTGCCAGACGAACATGAGTTAAAGCCTAGACATAAGGAGAACCAGCTCCGAACGTAACGGGACTACATACCTACCAATGGAATAACCGTTTTCCGTTAAGACAGATTTCATTGGATGTTCTTTACTCGCCCTTGACAGATGAGTTGTAGTCTTGGTAACACTTCTGACCTCTTGTACGCGACAGCGATCAATAGAGCAGCTGGCTCGCACGTTCATTGATTTTTCTGGTTTGGCCAAGCGCACCAGGCGATCAGGCGGCTATCCAGACCGGGGTTAACGGTAATAAGGAGGCATTAAGGGGCTGTGGTTCACAAGACTGGTAAGGCAATTTATGCGGTTAGTAGTCAGCTATCGATGGATTGGATCTGAAGACGCGCGCTATCAACTTAAGGGTGAATACTACTGAGGGGGCATGCGAGTAGTCTGTGGTCATATCGAAGCTCTGCTGAAGTCTCATAGAAGGTGGAACTGTTTTGCAGTGTTCGTTTGCAATTGCGTGATAGTCAATGAATATCCAGGAAATCCAGTGTTTAAGGCACGAACCTAATAACTGGAAGGCCTGTGGTTCGAACCCAACCCTGTCGGCTTGAGTGTCGCAACCTGGCAGTATCTAAGCCCTCGTAGTTCAGCCGGGTGGAGTCGCAGCTAGGTTTCACGCTGAAAGATTCTTCCATTATCTTATAGTTCGCTGGATTGGAGGGCTTTCCCAAGTATAGACTTGGTCCTTACGGACTAGAGGTTTGGCACATATGCGTACCAATGTTTCTCTTGTTCAGTGTTTATTCTGAAACTTCGCCATAAACAGCGACACATACTCATTTGTAAACAAATTTGGTTTCGTGAGAGACTCACCTGGGACCCAGCTGAAGCCCTTGTTTGTGATGTTTTCAGGCAACTGAATGTGCTGCACCAGGCCACATCATGTTTAGGTAGCTACGATATTCGAGATTTCGCGATTCATGTATATATTTGTAATGCACTACTCATAAGGTTGCTGAAAGCGCCTCGACAACCCACAAACGGTTTCGCCCTTCTTGGGGCTCATCAGGTAGGCGCAGTCCCCGGGTTTCCGTCAACCTTATGTTCTACTTGAAACCAAATTGCACGGAATTAGCGAAATACTCTCACTTGGAAACGAATTTGGGGCTGTCGAAGAATTTTCAGCAAACTTATGAGTAGGTATAAACATTTTTGTTGCATTTTATTGCAGAAAATAGCATGGCATTCACTATTTTGTAAACATCAAGAGAATTAGGGTGGGTATAAAATCACCTTCACTATGACTGTCAAGGTCACTGTCAAAATTTTGACATACACTTGCCTTTCGGTAAACCTATGGACAGAGAACGTGTGACCGACGGACAAAAGGATTCGAAAAGAGGTGTCTAGTGATAGACAGCAGCAGATTTTCGCAGCAAAAAAGCATCAAAAGAATCACCATTGTCCCTGAAACGGCGTTGGTGGTGTACAGCGGCCACAGTAGATAGTTTTTCGTCTGAGAATGATCTGGGATGGTTGTAGACGGCAGCTGACTGACGCATGAATCCATAAGAGACAATGGGCTTGACACTGGTGAAATCAAGAAGGAAGGCTAGGCAATGAAGGCAATGGTTTGGAGATATGCCCTCCACTGAACGTATGACTGGGTGGTGTCTACCAGTGTCTCCAACCGTGAATTTGTTTCATATCGAGAGCCCTATCCAAAGAGGCGACAATGACCAGCATTGCTGATTTTTCATACTTCACTGCAAAGCCATTGATTCTCTACCCTCAATACGCTTATGCGAAAAGGGCCCTCCGAGGAAGTTGACCAAATGACACATGAAGAAAGTGAACAGGCCAGCGCAAGTTATGATATGTAATTAGCTTATCTACCCTGATCTTGCTGCTTCCCCTAAAATCGCTGGATCTACTTGAGGAGTGCTTCTAACAGGCTCAGTGGATGCTCCGAAGAGATTAATAGTCATGCACTCTTAGCTCGCAGCGACCGGGTTTCTGACATTTAACAATGTGGGGCTCATTACATCATTAAAAACTCGACCCTTCACAGATAGCCTGATTTCCCACCTGCGCCACAAGTTTGACATAAGCTGCTCTGGCCTTCCCCGTCCGAACGGAGATACAGTCTTCAGTTAGCGAGCTCAAAAACGTCGACAGAAGATTCCGTATTTTCTCAGCGCCGTTTTAAAATTTTCAGCTACAGGTGACTGATCTCAAGCTGCATCGACGCGACGGCTGATGTTGATGCAAAACGCTGGTGTCAATGTGATGACATGAGAAATACAAAGACGCCCAAAATCAACCATGGGTGATCAAACTGATTTACTCGTTTGCCTACTGGAATATTGTAAGTAGTCTATAATTAATCCAACTGATATTTTGATGTTGGTTGTAGTTCCCACACATGGCTGTTTTTCGTTAGGTAAGTCCGAGGAGTGTTCCGCCATATCTTTACGAAGATATGGCTTAAGCCAGTCAATTTCGAGGGCGTCAGAGTGCAGAAGGACAGTATTCATAAACTGGTGTATCGCAATTCGCAAAGGTTATTCTGGAGGTTCCGAGTAATATAATAAGCAAGCACCAAAACGCTGGCGCAGCAATATGGATATGCTTATCAAGGTTCTTACCATATTCATGAAATGGCAATTCCAGGATCCTAGTGGAAAAAGCAGAAAACGTTTGAATGAATTGATGAAATTATTGTTTCTTCCAGCAGAATCGCTCGGGGCATTGCAAAATGACGTATATGATCGGCCCCATTCAACCTAGTGGTTAGGCATCCACGAAGAGGCACAAATGAGGTTAGGTTGTACGCTGAAAGAGCCACTAAAGCAGATTCCATTAAAAGGATGATAGTTTGAGGACGACCTTGGAACTCGTAAGAAATCCAAGCAATGCTATGTTCCTATGCACAAACTTGCATTTAGCTGTTATGGCTCAGTGGTTAGAGCGCGAATTTACTGACCGGAAGGTCCGTGGTTCGAACCCGTCCTGTGCCTCTTGACTTCCCCTGTCTAGGCTTTGGCAACCTGGCAACATCCAAACCTTCGCGCTTCCTTTTGGTAGACATTGAAATGGTGTTAAAATGAAAGATTATCTTTCATTATCTCGCATCTTGTATCCGTGATTTTCAAGAAATTCCTGATGAAAGTTCAGAAATCAATATGGTAGGTAGTGAGCCATCACCTTATGTCTGGCCATTACCAGAGAGATATCTTAAGGCTGAGTCCCCCCATTTGGTAATCAGTCATAAGTAACCGAACAAAAATACTACTGATATGTTAATCTGACTTAAGAAAATTGAGCGGAATAATGTAGAGTACCACTTTGGATCTCTCCTTCAGGCAATACAACACACGAAGTATCATTCAGAATGGATCTTGGGGTTATTCCACTCGAAGGAGATGTTTCACGCTTTTGGTGTGACAGTGGGATGGCGCATACTACTGAATAAGCACGCGAGTAGTGCCAAGTAAGAGCCAAAGCCTCGTCCCTACATCTGAAGGTAGGTAGATTCAGCAATTATTGAATCATTTAGCAGTACATGATCAATGTTACAGTCATATGACCTTCGGTCAACAGACGAGCAGACGGATATCGTTGGTTTCAGACTGGTCGAGTCGTCTCAAAGGAAGGAACAGGGCCGAGAAAATCAAAAGAGAAACGCCAGAGTAGCACAAACAGATCCGTAAATTCTGCCACCAAACTGTATAACGATACGTACTATAACTTGACGGGTGTGGAACGTCGGGAGAATTGCAAGGAATACTCGGCGAGAATGAGCGCCCAGCGATAAATCCGGCAGATTTAAAATACAGAACAGAAATAGCACAGACCGAAAGATTCAATACCGATTACTATGTGGGTGGGATTTTGTCCATATTTAGAGGGATTTATCGTTTGTATGTGTAACTAGCCGCAATCAATCCCCTTGTTACATTCAGACGTGAGATATTATCTGGGTCATTCCGATAACCAGTTCAAACAGGTTTAGGCATCCTATGTTTCAGCTACAAGATACACTTTCTCTGTCGGGGTTCCTGAATGGAATAAACAGTGGATTGCGTCAAATTTCATAGCCTGATCGGACTAGGAGGTTATAGGGATCGAATGCATCCAAAGACACATCCGACATCAATATTTTTGAGGTAGAAAATGATGAATTTTCATAGTCTGGCAATCCTTGTTTGCGGTCATTCAGCGGTGTTTTTAGTCCAAGCTTCGGAAGTCATCCTCACCAACACACACACAAGTTAGCAAGTATTGACGGAATGACTAGTCTTTGTGAGGAAGATGCTTGGGTTCAAGTAGAACATAAGGTTGACAGAAACTCGGGGACTGCGCCTACCTGATGAGACCTAAGAAGGGCGAAGCCGGTCGTGGGCTGTCGAAGAATTTTCAGCAACCTTTTGAGTAGTGCATTACAAATATGCACATGTATCACGATACCTGGAATATCGTAGCGACTGAAACATGATGTGGCCTGGCGCAGCACATTCAGTCGCCTGGATATGATATATCACAGAGATTCAGGGGATCTCCTATAAATCTTCTAAATTTTGTAAACGTTGAACCTCACCATCTGTTGAACAGATAACTTTTGTTTTCTATAAGACTGCAACAAGACTGGTACTGTTGCATCTGGGAGAACTGGTGAAAATGGCTACTTTATTGTCGTTTATCCCTCCTGAAAAAAAAACAAATCATAAACGGGGAATTTTGTTACTCAAGCTGTAGATTTAGTGGCTGCATTGTCTGTTTACTATGTGCAGCGAACGGGAAATTCAGATATCAATGAGCATTCCGCCATTCAAATGAAGCCAACCTGTGCTGGAAAACCGAAGAGCAATGTACAGCTATTCCATCTTCATTGGGACTCGTCAGCGGTGAGCACTTGAGAAAATCAGAGGGCTTCGAATCCGTGACCATCTGGAGGGAACTCGGACACCAGGGGCTGACCCGCAGTGAAAGTCACCCGCACCTAAACATCTGTCAATGACAGGCTGTCATGTGTTGACTGGTTCCTCGGGTCACGAGCTCATACAGTCAAAGAACACGTGACCACGTGATGCGTAATCCGTGATTTAAGGACCAATGCTTGTTAGTATCCTGTCCAAGTGCAAGTTAATTACACTGTTGATCAGTCGCTCGGGCGATTTAAACTACTGGCACGGAGGTTGCGAGTTTGAATCACCCTGGAGTTTCGTGAGATGCCAATTGTTTGTGATTTTCAAAACGGACGAAACAGTTTTACAGTGATTCTCAGCTACTTAGCGCAGATTAGCTTAAAATGGATGACAAAATCGTCGTTGAACATTCTGAAATCTCCTCACACTACCAATAGTTTAAGCCGCAATGTTTTATTGATTTTTATTGATTTTTGCCTTTTCCAGAGTTTATATTCATCCATGAATCTTTTGTTGTCAGTAGTCTGTCTGCCAGAATGTCCTAACATGAGTGTTTTCGCAAGTTCTGGTTCAGTCAGCCCGCTTAACGTCAACTCGTTGGATTCGCGGAAACGAGAGTTTAGCTAAATTCCAGATATTTTAAACTCGGTGATAAATTCTTTTTGACAGAATCCCTGTGTTAAGTAAAAGAAGCATGTTATGTCAATGTTGGTGTGTTTGGGCTAGCCTAACTTATCACATCTAACAATGGTAGGATGATATTCAGAGAACATTTTTCGAAAATGAAGGAGAATTTTAGGGATATACTCATTTTGCTTGAAGTTGTGACGTTTTCTATGTTGAATGAAGATAATCGCAGTGACAACCAAAGTCCCAAAGAAGACTGATCACTTTACAACCTTGTACTACAGAGTAGTAGAAGTCGGCCTCCTTGATCACATGGAAAATTCACAATAGGAGAAATTTTGGAGAACGAATTTTTTTGGTAGATTGGAAAATGAGCACGCATCCTCAGGTGATCACTGCTGGTCCAAGCACGCCGGTTATTCAGTGGTATCACAGTTGAGAAGTCTGCTTTTTCCTGAGAAACTGTACACTGTCACTACACTGTTTTTCGTGGCGATGTGGACCCAGTTTTCTCCACTGTCAAGCGCCCATTCGGGTCTACAACCTTTTACCATGGACACTGAATATAAAGTGTGGAAAGTGTGTGCTTTGTTGCGTTTTTTAAATTTATCGATTTTGTCTACACATCAAGGTCATAGTCACAGCAGTCTCTGAACGGTCGTGCTCCTGTTCTGGCGTAATTATTTCGGCGAGTTCACACCAGAGGGAAGCACTGGACACGAGTTCTGCTCTCATTAGAGCTCCTCGGCAGTGCATGTCCAATGGCCGTGCCGGGATTTGAACCCCGGACATCTGACATGCGAGGCGAGCGTGCAACCACTACTCCACCAACACACGTTGGACGCCTCTGAATTATCATGTGAACAGGCGAACGTGTTCACAATTGAGCGATGTGATTGGTGCACCCGAGTCATCGAACGACAACCCACTAACCGTCCTGGATGAGACGACCGATTGACCCGCCAGTGAGGATTTCCCAGTCAGGTGGCGTGGCACACGCTTGAAACCCGCAGGGCAACCTTTTTTGGTTGTAATTTTGGGTTTTGCGGGATAGGCATTTTGTTCATAGTCCAGTTTGAAAGTTGAGTGAAGGTGAATCTCTTATGCGGCGGTAACTGCTAGTAGCCTATGTGCTTATGTCTTAAGACAGGATGGATATATTGTGGAATGCTCTACTGTTTCAAACGGTTTCCAAGCAAGCGATCTGTCTTCCGGAACGGAATAGATTGTGAGGCGTCAACGTACTGGAACCCTAAGAGCACCCATCTTCAGATTTCCGTAGAAAAGTTATTGGCAATGGCCAGATGTCAGACCGCAGCAAAGATTTCTTGAAAATGGGGGCATACAAAGCACGCCCCCCATAAAATATGTGCACCACAATATGGTGATAATGCTGAATATTGATTTTTCGTTTTAAATTGTCAAATTGCGAAAGCCAAAGGTCGATAACGGGAGACTCACCTGGAACCTGGCTGAATCTTTCGTTTAGGACTTTCATCGACTGAAACTGTTGCGGAAGACCACCTAATGCTTCACTTGGTATGGTATTCGAGATATCGCAATCTCAACCGAAACCCGAGGCAGTGTGAAGTAGCACAATCGTTTGAAGAGAAGCATCCTCGACGAGCATCCAGGTAACTCGTCCATGAAAACCAGGCTGGTAAGCAGATGAGTGTACAAGTCGAGGGTTGTGCAGTTTGTATCCATGAAGGACGAAAGGTTGATGAAAACATGGGAACTGCACCTACCTAATGGATCGCAAGAAAGGCGAAATCTGTGGAGAGCTGTCAAAATTTTTTCAGCAACCTTATGAGTAGTGTGTTACATCTAGCTCTTTTCAGTACAGCGCTGTCAACATCAAGCAAACATTCAACATCCCACAGTTTGTGTCTTCTCATTGTGTCATATAAGAGAGTGAGCGCTATTCAGGGCTATGCTGAGTACTAGATAACCGAGTTTCTAGTGTTATTTATACTTCCAAAATTATCAGAAATTACCAAGGATTTTACCCACCAACATAAACTAGTCTATGACGATTTTGAGTGGGAATAGCAATATATCATATCTATCGGCCACTAATGCATGATACTCTTAAGCGCTGGGATACACACACATACACGCACACGGTGATCGAATTATACACGCGGAACATTTCCCCTACGTGAGTGCTGTGCGTACACACTCAGCGTTGTGTAGGCTTATCTGCCGCGGACTGCCTCTCCAGCTCTATTCCAATAAAGTTCATCACCAACGAAAGGATTATCGTTAATCCGTAGATGATGAAGAATGCAAATTCGATAATATTTTTTCCAGTTCTGCTTGCTTCTTTCGGTTAGATAGCCTGAGGTTTCGACAACGAAACGTTGATAAATGCTCAACGTCGATGCTAGTGTGTTGGCATAGTCAAACGAAAAATTCCTGGATCACTATCTGCTGATGCAATCCACGTGAATTGGAAATTATCAATTTATTACACACTCAATAACTGAAAATGATTGAAAAACGCAGGGAAATTTTCTTCTTGCGCTGTAAAGTGCAGTCCAGGAATAAGACACTCAATTCAGTTTGTCAATCAAATGATTCAGGGCTAGGAGTGCACTCAATCAAGACTCAGCCTTTTTCCAGTAAGAAAGGCCATTTTAAAGCTTGTAAACCTTAGTGAGTTCAAGTAGAACAGAAACTCCGGGACTGCGCCTATATGATGAGCTCCAAGAAGGGCGAAACCGGTCGCGGACTGTCGAAGAGTTTTCAGCAACCTTGTGAGTAGTTTCCTTTATGAAAATACCATGCGATATCTCGAATATCGTGCCAACTGAAACATGAGGCTGCCTATGTGTAGCACATTTAGTTGTAGAATATCATAAACGAGAGATTCAGTTGAGTCTCTCGTGAAAACGAAATTGATTTGCAAATGGGTGTATTTCTCGAAAACAGTGCAATTTGGGTTCAAGTAGAACATAAGGTTGACGGAGACTCGGGGACTGCGCCTACCTGATGAACCCGAAACGGAAGAGCGAAACCGGTCGTGGGCTGTCGACGAATTTTCAGCAACCTTGTGAGTAGTTTCCCTTGTAAGCACCAGTTTGCCGGGCGAGGTCTACTGCTGGAATTTCGTTGTGTTCCTGCTACTGACAACATGTAGGTAGTATGTACTTGAGGCTACTAAGTCACGTCAACACTTCCTGGGCTCTGGTGAACATGAGGCCACTTCATCTCAAACCAGACTGTGGAAAATACGCTAGTTTGTTGATGGCGTACTTGAGACTCAGTGTGAGCACATTGCATACCCGTGAAAGAACGAAGGCCTTTGTTGTGGAGTTACTTACTAGAGAACGCCAAGCGAACAGTTGCTATTGCACAGGGAAGCAGAACTCTCATGTGCATCTTGTTTATAAAAACTGGATTTCCGTCTTCTTCTCGGATGCGTCGTCCTAAAATTTCCTGGGCACTCATTGACAATCACTCAGATGTATCCGAATGCTACAAAGCAATTCCACAAGTTCCGTAATAAATCTCACTTTACAACAGGTGCAATGCGGATTTCGAGTAAACCACATACTACTCGCATGCCTAATCAATAGTATCCACTGTTACACTGTCACCTTCGCTTTGGGACCAAACAGGGGTACATTCAGCGAATATACACTCACCTGCAAACTAATGTGGTTCTTTCGAGAGACTCACCTGGAACCCAGCTGAATCTCTCGTTTGTACTGTTCTCAGACCATTCAATGTGACTCTTTGTGACTTTGGTGACTCAATGTGATTCAGCTGGGTTCCAGGTGAGTCTCTCGAAAGAACCAAATTAGTTTGCAG